CCAAAACGGGTAGCAGCCAATCAAATGCTGTACTTGTTTTTACATCGTTCATACCTCTATTATAATGAACGAGTCTACAAGTCTGACCACATGTACTAAATTTGATTGGTGGAAATTCCACGTCTGACAACTTTGGTGGAAAATCCGTATACATTATGCAAGACCATGTCGTTCATACGTGTTATTATGAATAACTACATATTACCGACGGGGGGTCTGATTTGGCCTATCCGTCTAGGCGGACTTACAGACATGGTGACACACGTACAATTTCCCAACGCTGACGCCGGATATCGCGATATTGATATTGATCGCGATAGATATTGCCTGTTATTGTATGCAAAGCCCATATTCTAGCTCAAATAAATTCAGTGAAGACCACTATCATTTTGCCTACATTAATGTGGTGTTTGCTAATTGTTAAGTGCTGTAGTCACATGACAGCGCTATTCATGTTGTCCATGAATCGCTCGGTACGTTGCCGTGTAGTAATCTTGGTGTTTTGGAAATGTTGTGCGGGCACGAGAGATAGTGCCACGTTTAATAATGCATTCATTTATAAAATGTTAATGTCTAGGTTATGTGAGTTATAGATAAATGCAAATGGGTAGATATTTAATAGTCCAGATCGATCAATAGAGGGATTAAGTTGCAATCAGTTAAGCTCCGGTGCCCATGAATATACGTGTAAATTGGTCGTTCGCGCCACAACCCGGGATCTTTTCCAAAGCTTCCAGACAACTTTGTAGTCGTCAGGTTCAGGGCCTGGAATGGTCCTGTGGATTTGCTGAATTGTACCAGCAGGATTGGGGGCCCTGGGCTAGGGGAAGATTGGCTACATCGACTGGTGAGTTACATGTACATAGTGACTTATATAATAGCCAATATAAGGTCATAAAAGTGGCTGTATGTAGCGGGGTGCAAGTTGAATGCCAAATTTGCAATGTGGTGTGCACGTACAGTACGTGTACCTCCACCTTTGTTATTGTACATGTATGATATATTATGCATGACCTAGAAAAATCCGCCGCATGTACATGTACATGTTACATCGTAAGTTATGTAGGGATCTGGGAATTCCCCATTTAATTTAGCGAACTGTGTGACCTTTGAACCTTGTGCACGTCTTCAAGGCGTGATTGGCCCACGTGGGTGCACAGAATGTACAGTACAAGTACATGTATTTCCTGTAAGTCTG